CACACACACACACACACACACACACACACACACACACACACACACACACACACACACACACACACACACACACACACGCGCATAGACACACGTTATTTTTGCATTCTCCGTCTCTACCCTACTTTCGCTCTACGAGGAACGGGAGTTAGACCTTACCTTGACTCCCTTCTGGTTGCTGAAGTCTGTGCTAAGGCACTGTACGGCAACACTGATCTTAGCTGGCCCATCGAGAGGGTTCCAGTAGAAGGCGATAGCGTTGTGAGACACCTCCTCTATGCATCCTACAAGCCCGATGCTGTTCTTCGTGTCTGTGAGCGGCAAGAGAAGGAACATGTGATCGTTAGAGAAGTAAGAGCGGCTCCCGCTCTCTCCGCTCCCTTCTCCCGCTATGTCGACCTCGCCTCCTGCGTCGCGCTTGTTTCGCATACGCCCTTCCTTTCCTTCACCACCCTCCCTTTACTAATCTGATCTCATCCTCAATCATTGTTATTCCCTTTCTCCTCCTCTGCCTTCTATTCTGCTTCATATCATCTTCTGCTCGGCTTCCTCCTCCTATCATCTCTCCTCTTAGCATCTCACCAGCCATCCCTCTTTGTCTCCTGTATTCTCCCCTTTTCATATTCTCACCATCTTTATTTACTATTGCCATCTATTACTATCGCTCCCAACTTTTCCGGCTCCCTTCTCTCTTCTCCTGGCCACTGCTATCATGCGTTGATCTACACACAGGCATAACTGAGCACCTAGACTGATCTTCACGTTTTCATATCTATCCATGCTTGTAATTTACCAAAAATCACGCGTGTGTAAGGAATATATATATATATATATATATCTTTTGACAGCAGACAACCTCTCAGTAGATTTACTAGCTTGATAACGACCCACTTCACGCTACAACCAGGCAGTTTTTACACAACACTCTAATTCCATAAAAAAAACTCCGACAATTTCGTAAAACTGCGCTTATTCGTAAAACTGAATAACGTCAACGGAAATAGAATTTACGCCAGTGCTTTCACGCACAGACGCAGATGGGACGCACGCACACCAGCCTTCGTACGGCCACGCCCGTACGCCACGCCACGTCCGCAACGACCGGCTCCGCCCGTCCGCACGGCAAACGGCCGCGTCCCGCACGCCCGCCCGCACGCCCCGCCCGCCCGCGCGCGTCCGCACGGCACGGCACGCACGCACCGGCCGTCCGCCCAGCACTCGGGACGCTCGCCAACGGCACGGCACCACTTGCTCGCACGCCGCACGCACACTCCACTATTCGCACACACGCACACTCGCTCTCTCGTACGCACGCTCGCTCGCACGCACGCTCGCTCGCACATACGCCCGCTGGCACGCACGTACACTCGTTCGCTCGCTCGCACATACGCACGCCGGCACGCACGCACGCACACTCGCTCGCTTGCTCGCACGCACGCTCGCGAACGTTGCAATCGTTAGATATCGCGTGAGTATATTTCATAAAAGCATAATTACTTATTTTACCGGCGTCAAGAATTCTCTGCTTGGCGCTGTGCTGGCGGCTGTGCCAGAACGCCCACGACTTTAGCTCGTCATCCTCACTCTTCTCATCTCTGAACACGAGCATGACGAGCGACTGCAAGCAGAACAAGGAGTGGAATCTGTCGTTATAGTCAAACAACAACAACAACAACAACAACAACTTACAACATACGTTACAGTCTAACAACAAACGTTGAAATCACTTAGGAGAGAAACGCCCGTATATAAATTTTCTTTTTGAATAAGTGGTAATTGTGTAATTGAATTAATAAATGCATTCAGTTATATAATGTTGCTTTAGCTGCAATGCTACATCTGCTTATTATTCATGTGCATGCGTGGAAACACAAATTGCCGGCCGGTTCTCACAACTGGAACGTAAGTTATTTATTAAACGTAAGTTATTTATTAATCGTATTTACGCGAAATGACGTCTTCCTGGCCGTCATCTAATATGGTTTTACTTTCGTAGCCAAACAAGGTATATATATATATATATATATATATGTATATATATATACTGACT